TAGTTATATGTTTTTCAAGTTAATTTATGAGTTTTATGCATTAATTCTATTTTTTGCTCAACCGTGATGTAGAATTGATGCAGAAGCACATTGTATGTTTCTATTTTAACCGACGAGATCACTCGGCTGCAAGCCAATGGGCTACAATGCTGGGCTATGTGAATGAAAAGACTTGAGTCAAGCCAGATTAGGACTGTTTTGTTGTTGTTAGTTTACTAATTTTCTGATTAAAGTGGAACCAACGCGAAGATTTAATTGGAAAATAAAGTATAAGTGAATGTTTTTGTCATCATGACTAAATTTTTCGTTACGGTAATTTGTATATAGATTTATTCCGCGTGGGGAGAAGTTTTGGCATAGTACTTATGCTACTCAATCCTGCATGGCGGGAGAAGTTTTGTGATGACTCATATGTTTTTTGTATCTCGCATAGCGAGAGAAGTTTGAGTAACTCTTATGCTATCCTAGTATTAACCATGGCACAATAGAAATGCATCGTCATGGTCAATACTAATCAAAAGATAAGAAAAGATGCAAGCGTAATTTACAAAAGTACTGCTAATGAAAGACCTCGTTGAGTTCTTAAAGTGAAATAAGGAAAGTGTACTTCTAAATGGATTAAGAAATAACTTTGTTTACATGACATAATTGTGTGAATGAAGTAAGTTATAAGTGTCTCCTTGTTCATAGGTTTTCTAAATAGTTCTCGAAATTATGCCCGAGAAAGTTCATGCCATATTTCGAGGGGGAGAATATTAAGATCAATTAAGGAAAATACTCTTCATTAAGAGTGAGATAAATATCAATTAAGAAAGATACTCTTCATTAAGAGTGAGATAAAGATTAATTAAGATGAATGCGACCGTTGGAGAAGTACAATGGTCACAACAATGATACCCCTAAGCAAAGAAATAGCTAAATTTCTAGACCTTTTAAAATTCCAATAGGAAGATAGCGTAGTCAGCCTCAAAAATGTTAAGGTGGTGCTTAAAGCGCCATATAAGGTTTTAACAAATTAAACCCAAAATAAGATATTTAAATGTACACTATCTTTAAAAAAGATGGGAAGATCTGGGGGAGCATGGTATGTAGAGGTATGTAGTGACTCAGGAGCAACAAGTTTCTCAATATCTGTTGATGTTGTATGACTAATACAACACCTGTTGTTAGCTCTTCGAAGAAGATGAATAATGTAAACAAGGATCTTGTAACACAGGAGCATGTAGAATCAATTGCCTCTTGGCAATGAAGAGCAATAATAGCCCGATATGAAAGTGCCAGTAGCTGAGGCCCCAGAAGGTCTCAAAGAATTAGTAAACCAATTTTTCTGATGACTATAAAGTCTATGTTAGTGAAGAAATTCAAATGGAGGGTGATCCCATCTCACTTGAAGAAGTCATGAGAAGCGTTTACTCGTCTAAATGGCAAGAAAGTATGGAAGTTGAAATAAATTGATGAATACCAACGATGTTTGGTACTTAGAAGAAATTCCTAATGGAGCCAAAACAAGACTGTTTGTAAATGGGTCTATAAGATAAAATGTGACTCCAAATAGAATATAGAAAGATATAAAGCACGGCTTGTAGCAAAATGCTTTACGCAAAGAGAATGAATAGATTTCAATGAGAGTTTTCTCTCCAGTCTCATGCATGGATTCTTTAAAATTATAATGGTGTTATTGGTAAATTACAATTTAGAGTTACATCAGATGGATGTAAAGACGGCATTTCTCAACGGGGATTTGTATGAAAACATTTACATGGCACAACCCAAAGATTTTATCGTGAAAGAAAAAGAACGTATGGGATGCCGCCTGTAGAAATCAATTTATGGGTTAAAACAAGTCTCTAGGCAGTAATATTTGAAGTTGATGAAACGATAAGAAAGTATGGGTTTTAAAGAAAATGAGAAGGACAATAGCGTTTATGCGAAGTTCAAGAATGAAAAATTCATTTTCCACATCCTGTGAATAGATGACATTCTACTCACTAGTAGTGATGTTAATCTATCATTGGAGAAGAAGTTTTGTCCTCAAGTTTCAATGTGAATGATCTTGGTTAAGCGTTATTGGTTATAGGAATCAAAATTCACAGAGATAGAAGAAAATAGGGTATTAGGACTATCGCAAAGACATACTTAGAAAAGATTCTAAAGAAATAAAGTATGCATGTGAGTAAACCTACGCCTGCTCCTATAGTCAAGGGTAATAAATTTGGAAACTTTAAGTGTTCCAGGAATCGATATGAGATCAATCAAATGAACATGGTTCCAGATGCTTCAGTTGTTGGAAGCTTGATGAGTGTACAAGTACAAATAAGAACTTACCTTGACGTAGTTTACATATCTAGGATATTTTAGCAGAAGTCTAGTCCAGATATAGATCACTGGAATAGAGTTGAGAATGTCTTGCAATTTTGCAAAGTATCATAGGCCTCATGCTGACTAAGAAAGAACAAGTACTCTCAAATAGTTGAGGGTACAAATATTAAGTCTTGGCGAGATATGTAGGGAAATCTACAGTAGTTGTTAACACTCGCAGTTGGAGTATTATTGTGGAAAAACTCCAAAGAAACAGTTGTAGTGTCATCAGTGATGCATACCATAGTACAGCTTGACATGAGGCTTAAGGAACTGGCAAATGGAGGTTAAGAGAATTTGTACCCAGATTTAACAATGGTAGTCAACAGCAATAACCATTTAAAGTAGTTAACTCGGTCAAGTGTGCTGCCAAACACATTGGCATTGAGTTATATGTTGTAAAGGAGAAAATCCAGAATCATTTTGAAAGCATTGAGCATATGAGTACCAAGCAAGTACTTGCGGATCCGCTTACCAAAGGCAAACCACCTAGTGCGTTTAGAGAACACACAGTCGACATGGGTTTACGAAAAAGCCTATGATTTCTGGATACTAAGGGCCTAGTTGAGAATCTGTTTCAAAACAGAGAGGTGCATTGTAGCTGTTTAATCTGATGGCAACTGACTGTGATGATGAGGCACGCTCTATGCATTGATGTGTGATGGAATGGGAAAAAAATAAAGTAAGTTAAGTTTAAGTCATAAGGAGAGATTAAGGGAGATAATGTTAGGTTCATCTCCACCAATTTGGCCCAACGGTCAATTAGGCCATTGACTCGCGCCCTAATCGGGGGCGCCTAGCCGCTCTTCTGGCTGGTGGGCCCCGTCGCGTAGCGCTATATAAAGGAGGTGGGAGCTAAGGCTCGAAACACGAGGTTGACTACAGCCATAAGTTCTCCACCGAGTCTAACCCTAGTCCGATCTAGAGGGAGCGCTTTGAGCAACGGGAAGTTCCTCCTTCCTTCACTACCGTCATTGGACTGTGCCACCACTACGATGCTATCTCTACTCTGATATTAGAGGCGCGTCGTATCGTGCCATGACGAGGTACATCATCAAGTTTTTTATCTAAGTTGAGTTTTAGCCACTTGATCTACGTCTAGAGGTCCCGTAAGTTCCATCACAGAGTAGATGCACTCACCTTGAAGGCTGGAGCTGGAGGGCAAATTTTCTTTTGGTGCCACACCGAAGCAATATCACTGATCAGAAAATTCTGAATCTACATGCGTGTTCTGTCAGTCAGATATACATATACTGTGTTTGTGTGTGCGTGTGCCCCAGTAGATCTACTCGTTCCGTCCACGAGAGAATACAATTCTCGATTCCTGATAACTTAATTAGTTTGAACTTTAATCAAAATTATATAAAAAATCTTAACACTCTTGATATAAAATTAGTATCGTTAGATTGGTCATAGAATATATTTTTATAATAAATATTAATACTATTTACTATAGATTTGATCAAATTTGAGCTACTTTGACTGGATGGAGGAAGTAAAAGGGTACTTCCCTACATACACAAAAGAATACAACTACAGATTACGTGCCAACATAAACGGTTTATGTTTAACCAAGTTGTTAGTAAATACTATTTACATTTACGGCTCTAAAATAATTTATTTTTAAAATACATTTTGTAGTTAATTTAATGATATTTATTTAATATTATAAATATTGATATTTTTTATCTATAATTAATTAAATTTAAGATACTAACCTATGACAATGACACTGTGCGAATTGCATTCTTTCCTGCACTCAGGAGTGGCAGAGGAGAACATGGATGATGTCGAAACGCGATATCAACACCGAAAAGAGACAAAGAGAGAGGTCCGGTCCTAACCGCCATCCTAATTCTATCTTAATCCGTCAAGTTCAAGCTAGTACTAGTAAAATCGAAACGGAATATTTGGGGAAAATTGTCCTAGCAACCAGCGAAAGCCACATCACGTCGTCATCTTCGCCTTGAAGGCTTCAGCTGTTGTACCTTCCACCTCACCTCAAGAGGACGATCCCAAACTGCCACTGATGAACATCTTTTTATGTACGGTACCAACTCTTTACCAAAAGCTAGCAAGTGACAACTGAAGTCTTCCGAAACAAGACTGAAAACACAGCAAGGAGGAGTAGGAGTAGGTTGCTCAAACTGCCCAATCGACGCACAGAGACGACACACCATCACATCACACAAGGAAATCTGGAAAGGATCTCGTCTCAGACATCGCATTCCAGTGATAAATTCACAACAAGGGTGATGATACTTCAATAGTAACTAGGAGTAGAATGGTAAAGAGAGGCAATTAATTACATAGGCATCCATTTTCATCGTCTCCCAAGTCCCAAATAGGATACGATCCAGTTGAGACCGGGGAGTCTCATCTTAGCAAGGAAGGAGGGGGGTGAGGCGGCTGGCAATCAGAACTTCAGAATCAAGCAGAGCACGAAAGGAGGCAATAGGAATTCCACACAGAAACGAGCAGGGGAAAAAGAGGCAAAAGTGAAGAGGGGGGAAAAATCCGATAACGCGGATCACAACAAGGGGAATACTAATAGGCTCCCTTCTTCTGACACGACAAGCATCCCTGCGCCTCGCCCGTCCTGGTCTCGGTGACGACAGCAGCTCCGCGGGCGGCGGCGTCACTCACTGGGCCTCGACGGTGCGGGAGGAGGCGGAGGACGGGACGCCCTGCGCCGGGGCGGCAGAGGACGCGCCGCCAGCGGGGGAGACCGGCGGGGACGGGTGCGCGTGGCCCTGGGAGTTGGTGCGGTGGAGTCGGCACTTGAACGACCCGGCGTGGGTCGGGGGCGCGCACACGCACTTGGCCCCGCCGCCGTGGCTGTGGCTCCCGGAGGACGCGGAGGAGAAGCTGCGGCGCATGTTGCGCGGCGACAACGCCGCCGCCGCGCCCGTCGGGGTGGTGCTGGTGCTGTGGCTGTGGGGGCCGTGGAACCTGCCCTCCTCGCCCGTCGTGTCCACGTAGTTGGACGCCATCGATCGGCTTTTCTTCCTCCCTCTCTGATCTGCAGATGCCAAGAGATAGGCCATCAGTCACCGAGCAACATCCACAAGGAAAGCCGCAATAATAAATTGTGAAAAAAATAAATAGAAATCCAGGAGTAAATCCTTATGCGTAACGCAGCGAAGCACAGGGAAATCTAACTGCGTTCGTAAGTCCCACTCAGAGGAAAGGATGTTTACTGTATCCTCCATTACGACCGTTTACAGTTGCACAAGATTCACTTCCAGGATTAAGATAATAAGCAAGTGTTACCATATTAGCAATATCTCGGTTCAAAAAAAAAAAAGATTTCTTAGCATCTCATCGGAGTACTACTAGTAGATAAGATTAAGCGAGGACAGGAGAGAGGAGGATAGAGAGGCTACCGACGGACGAAGACGACGGTGGCGGCGGAAGAAGACGGCAGCAGTGTAAGAGAGCGGCAAACTGCAGTATCCAGGCCTTGGCGCCCGTTTTATAGCCGGCGAGAGGCGAGAGGTGCCCGCGGGCAGGCCGGGTAGGGGCTGCCCGGGAATCCCTCCGGCAACCCAACCCGCGGGCCCCACGGTACCACAAGCCATCGGCGCAGGCCTTGAGCCCCCAGGATCGCCAGCCTGATCGCTGGGCTGGGATGGCTGGCTAGCCCCTCACACACCAACCAGCCAACGTTACTTTTCTTTCACATAAATAAATTAGCAACGATATAAATCAGCCAACAGAACTGAATGCGCGTCGTTTGCGCGGCAACGGATTTAGATCCATTTGGGCCCGGCGGAGAGGGCACGCTCCTGGCCTGCTGCTACGTGGGAGTATATTGTACTACTCGTAGATGTTTATTCTACTACTATACTCCTCAACCACCAGATCTGTACAGAAATTAAACAAACCCATGATAAATTTAGAATAGATCACTACCGAACGGACCATGTTTAAGAATGATCACAGGAGGGACAACCTGCAATGCTAAAAATTTAGAATTGAACAATGATAAATTTAGAATAGATCACTACCGAACGGACCATGTTTAAAAGCGCATTGCACAAAGACACTCAGAATGAGATGGAATCGATATGCCCGTAGATTCATGAAAGGCCAATAATAGCAAAGAGAAGAATCGAATACAATCAGTGGCGGATCTAGCGATAGGGTAGGTGGGTCTCGAGCCCCCTACTACTGCTGGTACTATGAAGCCCCACCTCAAGCCCCTCCTAGAATTTCTATGGATGCACTCAAATGGAGTGGCAGAACTCCACGGATGCGCTTGTAGGAGGGGCTAGATCGACCGAGATGTTGAAGATTATGTGAAACTCGCAACTTGAGCCGTTGGCGAGTGGGCTTCAACATGTGAATGAAAAGTCTAGCAGCCCAATAGAAAAATCCCAGTAGCACCAACACCAAGGACCCTTCCTTGTTTCTCTCTTTTCCTCTCGATTCGACGATTCCCGACTCAGAGACTCCTGGTCTCCCACCGGCTACCACTCCCAAGTCCCAACACTAGAGTCAATGGGTGGATAGTGTAGGATGTGTTGCAACACCGGTGTAGGTTGCATGAAGGTCCGACTAACCAAGAAAGGCGACAAGTTCGCCAGTAGTTCAAGTGCTTGATTAAACTTAAAAATATTTGACTTGTCCCACATAAAATTCATATTCTTTTTGAGACGGAGGGAGTATATCAGTAACACAATAAGAACAGGATTATCAAAGGTTACTTCGATGCTTCAGTTCGCTAGTGAGGCGGCCAGCCAAAAGGAGATGAACTAGAAAGTGAACATATACAATAGATTCATCATTACTTGATACTGGCATACAGCAGGGAAGAATTAACAATTTCAATCAATTAGGTGGTGCAACTTGAATATCATTCTTCGTTGGATTCTTTTCATGTGTCTGACCCATGCCATTTCCACCTCTTAATATGTCCACTTCCTACCCATCTCAAGAATTTGGGCATCCAGGCAAACCATTTTACAGACACGAAACAAATAAGTACACATACATGCTAGGGATGGAGAAAAAAGATTATTGTACATATCTATATCTATCTATATCTCTTATTATTTTCAATCCCCACTAGCATTCTATCTTGCCATGCAAGCTGTCAACATCAACGTACACTAGCACATGCAATTATGTCTTTATTCAAGCTATTCACGTCATTAAGCAACATCATTCGCTAACATATATTTAGTTGCCCACATCACCCACTATCATGCATTATAATATTTCTCCATTCATATAAGTAAATATAAGTAGTATAATATCATCTCTGATACCCACAACAACATGTAGGGTATCCTCTAGATGTATATATTTAAAATTTATGATGGCTACACAAGAGCAATTGTTGTAATGAAAAGATTCGTGGAAGATCGAGCTCCAGCTTATGTAGTTCATATGCTTCATACAAAAGTACTTGCCATGCCTAGAAGTAGATTGTTGACGACCTTTACTTTATACACAAATGCTTTTATACAAGCCACCTTATATGTTGCGATGAGTAAATGCATGTTTCTTGTTTGCTATATCGGATAAGTCATGTGGAGTATACCCGTGTGCTCATGGTGCTACGCTTAAGCTTTTGCAGGTGAGATGGCATCGACCTATGGCTACTTCTATGCCCTAGATCCTTCGGTGGACTACGGCTCTAGGAGTGATTAAGGATGGATCTAGATGTCCAGATATCCGAAACATCTAATATCCGTATCCGTTTTAGTGTAAATATGGATATTTGTATTCGTATTCGATTTAAATATGGATACTAAATGGATGTATCCGTATTTGTTTTTCAAGATTATTCTCTATCCGATTCCACATCTGTATCCGACAAAAATGTGAAATATCCGATATTATCCGTATCCGTGAAGTACAAATTATTTTGAAACCATCTAAATCTTACAATTATGACTAATTAACTATGTAAATGAAAATAAATTTAATATAATAGATGATATGTATTATTATTTAAAAGTTATCTAAGGATAAGTAATTTTAATATTATTAATGATATATAAATCCTAAGGTAATTGATTTTAATATGGCTAATCATATTATTTAGTATTTTATTTTATTTATATAATTTTAAAATTTATTTTTATTTATTTGAATTCTGTAATTAATATATATAATCTATATTTTTCTTATATTATATATATTTAATTATTAAAATATTGATTAAAATAATTTATTTTTGGTAGTTATCTTTATCCACGGTGTTATATAGCTATGATTTTAAATCCACGGTGTTATTATACATGTTATCTTAAAAATCAAGTGGATATCCGAATCCGAATTCAAATTTGAGATATCCGTTTTGCATTAGTATCGACAATATTCATATTTGAATTCGAATTCGAATTAAAATGTGGTAAATAGTGGTATCTGAATCCGTATCCGTCCGGATCCGATCCGAATCCATCCTTAGGAGTGATGGCATCGCCCATGTGAGAGGCATAGCCCGTGGACGTGGCATGGTCCACGAGCACGAGATGTGTATCTTAGCCTTTTGTATAATTAAACTTTTGTTGTAGTAATTCGAGTGATGTGAATTGATGTGTTGAACAATGTGTGATGTAACTTGACTATTCTTTATGTGAAGTTGAACCTGGGTGTATGTTCTTTCTAAGCAATGGATCCAGGTTATGAATGTAGTGGATAACATGGATGCTGTGATTCTAAAGACGGTTGGGATTAGTCATATTAAAGTGAGTGTTGATCGGAGAATAACAGCTTAGTTCGGTGTGATTAGTTGGAAGGTCCTTGCACTAATGCCTGTAGGCTACCATTCATGCTGGTGCAAGGATCCGTTCAGGATGCTAACCAAGGATAACATCTAGATTAGATATGTTGATGAGGTTGATCCCTAATTCTCCGTACAGAATTCCCCTATTAGGAGATAAGGACGGGTCAGTTCTCGACCCCTCTACAGAGATTTAAATAGGGGAAAATACATCCCCAAGGGGCCTCCGGAGGACAGGAATAATGGTTTTTTGCTCGTTGTCCCTATCCTGGCTCCATTTTCCACATATGCACTATATCACTAGAATTTGTGATATATTTATTGTGTAGTGTATATACTTGTGTGTATTTGCACTAGAGTATTAATTAATGATGGACTATACGTGTACATTGTAGTTTATCAATTGTGCACTTGTGCTAAAAGTTATCGCTTACTTTATGTTAAATTCGAATTGAAACATATATTATGTGATGTATCGATGCGGGGACAAGGATCATTGCAGGGATTATTCCTTGTGCGCGGTCATGAGCCAAATCACTATCGCGCGCTTTCGCGATGGAGACAAAAGATTTTTCCTCCTACGACTACGAGCAATGGGATGTGAAACCATTTCCCCACATGGAATTCCCTATTGCCATCTCCAAACTGGATGGCGATGGACATGATGCTGCTACAGACTACTCTCCGGTGCTCTACTTCTCTCACGAAAAGAGAGACACCAGACATGCCGATGGAGATTCTATTTGTCATTGATATGATATAAACTATCCAAACAAGAAGATAGGGATATACACAATCAAGATAGACAACCAAATACGCGTGTGTAAATGTAAGAGCATCTCTAAGAGTCTTTCTAAAATTTACTCTCTAATCATCATTTGAAGAGTCATTTGAGTGAAACTCGTTTTTTATATCTTTGTACCCCTACAATAGTTTTCCTATATCTTATGCGCACTCTAGAGAATCATCCTCACTCTCTATCTTTGGCTAGCGAGAAATATAAAATAAATAATATATATGTTTAGATATCTAATTAAAAATGATGCTGAAGGGTATTTTTCACCAAAATCTATATTTCTATAAATTAAAAATATATAAAGAGTCTCTTAGAGTTGCCAGCCTAAGCTAAGCAACCAAACACAAGACCCTTATCCAGCTCTAGCCATGACTAAACACTCACCTGGTTTGGTTGAGATAAGGTTAACAACCGGGACAAACGTGCTGCCGGCACATGGATCTACCCCGAGAGGCATGCGT